AAAGAGTGTGCGAAGTCTGCAAAGCATCATCAGCCAGTAACCCAAAGAAGAGGCTATCATGGTGAAGCACAGGAACAGGTTGCCCAGTGAAGCTGTGGATGCCCCATCCCTGGAATTGTTCAAGGCCAGGCTGGATGAGGCTTTGAGCAACCTGGTCTAGTGGAAGGTGTCCCTGCCCATGGCAGGGGGGGTGGAACTAGATGGTCTTTAAGGTCCCTTCCAACCCAAACCAGTCTGTGATTCTGTGATACTTTTACATGTTCATATATGTACATAAAATACATATATGAATAATAGTGGTTTTTTTATCCCAGACTCTACATCTTACTTGCTTATTTTTATACTTCTAATTTAGCTTTTTGGGGAACAGAATTTAATTTTTTTTCACTTGTTATAAAAACATTGCAATGAGATGTAAAAATAGAAAAAATTATAATCTGAAGGATCCTAAACCTGCAATTTACTTGTCACCTGAATGTGTGCAAATGGTTTAGTTTCATCTTGCTGCTTGTAAAATGAATACGTTTTCCTAAAATGCACTGAGTCACAGAGAGGCCGGATATATGATGACATGTCATTCAAATAATCTTACATAGTAAAAAGTAGATACTGCAGAAAACCTTTGGTTATTAGAATTTGCTGTGAAAATAGACTAATCAATATTCTATACCTATGTATGTGTGTGTGTATATATCTGTTCCATTGCATTTTTTTAATGTCAACCCGACTTTCCTTAATAAAAAAATTGGGGTGGGGTGTTGGGTGTTGAACATGAGAACTACTTTTCAATTCAGCATACTTCAAATTAAATTTTGCGTCAAAAGGCATGGAAAGGTTTTACTGAGGTACGAGGCTTTGCTGACCTCTGCCGGAGAAGGAGTTATTAGCAGTTTTATGGAGCTATTCTGTGCTGTTCATCTCTGGAGAAATGTTCTCTCTCTCCATTCTGAAGGGGAAAAAAAATAAGTCACTAACTCTTTTTCCTTATATACTATAACGTGATTCCAGGAACGTTAATTCTCTCTGCTTGCTGTTACGATGGTGCTAGTGGCAGCGAGAACTGCGCTGTCGTGTAGCAAAGTGTTGGACAGAGGAAGGAATAGGGGGCATCTTCATGTTGCTGGCTGCAAGGCCGTCAGCGTTTTGGTGGAGGAGGAAATGTGCTCTTGACAGTTTCCTTTCCTGCAGAAAATGCAGGATTAGCAACTGGGAGGAGGTGCTGTGCTGCTGTTAATTCACTCCTGGGGATCACATCCGTTCAAGTACGCTGAGCCGCCATCTTATCATAGCTAGCTGTGCATTCTCTCTGGACATCCTGTGTGTATCTCAGCTCACTAGGGTTTAAACTGATCTTTCCTCCAAATCTCGTGCTGTTATTACTTTGCCAGTCAGTCAGGCCTGGAACACAGAGTTAATTTTACACGTCTTCATCTGACCCACGAAATTCCCTTTGCAGTATGTCTTAAGAGTCAGCTGTTTGTCTTCTCACAGCCTGAAGTGCATCAGTCCTCAACTCTGAAGTGATGATTAAATACACCTGTGATCATACATGCAGCCAGGGCATGTCCATCGTAAAACCATGGATATTGCTCCTTCTTCTGTGATCCACAAAAATTGAACTTGGGGACTCAGATAGCAAGATGCCTTAACTTACACAGTTTTGTTTCAGGTGTTGCTGTGCATCAACCAGCACAAGTACTTCTGAAATAAAACAGTATTCAGATACAAATATTTGAGAAGCCTCAAACTTACCTAATAATCACTCCGTGTACTTCTGTGAGTATCCAAGACATTTTACTTATTCAGTAATGCTGAAATCAATTTCACTGTTTTTCAGGATATTCACATTGTACAGCAAATCTTTGCCACTGGACTTGGCATGTCGTGTCTGGGATGTGTTCTGCCGTGATGGAGAAGAGTTCTTGTTCCGTACAGCCCTGGGAATATTAAGACTTTTTGAAGATATTTTGACCAAAATGGACTTCATTCATATAGCCCAGTTTTTAACAAAGCTACCAGAGGACTTGCCCTCGGAAGAATTCTTCACATCTATTGCTGCCATTCAGATGCAAAGTAGAAACAAGAAGTGGGCTCAGGTAAAGAGGATGTTGATCTTTGGTAACAGGTGATTGTTCTGTACTCACAAGCATGGGGTTTGACACCATCTGGAAGAATGTTGTAGCAGAGCTAGGATTTGATTTTACCGGTAGGTAGGACTATGTGGCGCGCTCCATACTTTCAGTATACGTTCAGGGGTGTGGATTCCCAGAGTATTTTCTCATCTGGAAAGGGAGAGCTTAGTCAACATTCAGAATTGAAATGTTGGGTGGAGACAAGGAAGTAAAATATCGTATGACTTTTTTAAACTTATTAATTACAGAGGCTGCTAGCAGCATTACAACTTGATACTTCAAAGCGGCAGTTCCTCTTTGGGAGGACAGTTTGTCAGCACACACCATCATACAGCCATCTTAATATCCCCAAGGATCGAGTTTGCCTGATTTTGGGCTGTAAAGAACTGACTACAACATCTCTGACTTCTTCACTGGAATTTAGCACTGAAGCCCTTCAAAAATTGTAGTGTCATCGCTGCAATTCCAAATAAATTCCAGCTTAAAGGAAAAAATATGCAAGCGTGTCACCGGAATGTGGAAATTCTGTGGCTCTAACAGTCATCATGCTGGGAGTTAGGTCAAAAGTAGTCCATAGGATTTGGAGTGTGAACTCCATATTTTTTTTTCCTTCAGAGCAGTAATACGGCCTGCTTCGAAACATGTTGTGTTAGAGCTCTGCCCAGTTTATCCATTCTTTTTTATCACAGTGAAACTGAAAGGTGGTGTTAAACGTAGTGGTTATGGGAATTTATGGCTCTTTCCTGGAGCAGTAGTCTGCCTGTGGGTGGGTGGGACTGCTGGTTCAATTCAGCTGTAGCCTTCTGAGCCTTGTGTTGTGTGTAAGGGAGCACAGCTTGCGCTGCCCAGCTACAAGCAGTATGCTGACTGCACTTCCTCCCTGACACAGCTTTCCTCACAGCTTAGTTTGCATTTACCTTCTGGGCTTGGTCCGAAGTTCCTAGTACAGACCCAGCCTTGTTTCTGTCCTTCAGAACTTTTTTCAGCCAGCAGTGTCTCTACAAGTAACCTCCTGGACTTGTTCCTCGGTCAGATGGCTCACTTTCTTTGAACATGACTTCTGTGGGTGAGGATCACATACCGATCAATTCTGAGTCTACTGGGACTTCCTTTGCAGGGAAGAGGAGACAGTGGTTCTGTTCTGCCAAGTAATAGCCGTACTTAGTCTGTCGTTTTCAGTCTTTGACACTTCAGCATAACCTAGCCCAAGCAGTCTTCCTCTGAGTCTTCATCAGCTGCATTCTGACTGCACTGGAATTTCCAGTTTTCACTTTTTGAAGAAAAAATGCTGCTGAACTGAGGTGCAGGTAGATCTCAAAAGACAGCACGCTATAGGGTTGGTATTGGTTGACCTCTTACCTTTCTTGACTTCTGCACCCACTGCCTTTCTTCACCAGGTAGCTGAGTAAGTTTCCATCAGGAAAACCTCTGCACTCTCTAGCCTGCTGTCCTTTTCCAAGCCATAACTGGGTAGGGGCTGTGAGTTTGCTCACATCATGTACTTACTGGGACTCCTCAGTTGCTGAGGTACCAACCTAGAAACATTAACAAGACAAAGAGCGTATGGGATTATGTTTCCTGATACTAAGATGCTACCTGTGATGACCTCTTACCTCGCTTCAGGTTTTTAATGTTCACCAGGATGAGTTTGGACTCAGAAACCTGAACTTTGCAGCTCTGGGACAGACAGGCTTTTGGTAGTGTGTGATTTGGTTGCGCAGGAGGACTCATAGCAGTGCTGGGGCTGTGGCAGCACACGCCCACAGTGTGTGCTGCAGCTGGGATGCTCCCTAGCTGGATAATCGCTTCTGACTGCTGTTGTAGGAGTCAGGTGCCTTGCTGTAGTATCCGTGTATTTTCTGCAGGGTAATACCTTTTCAAAGTAGCAAAATGAGTGTCCCTTGTGATGGACGAACTACCCATAAGGTAAACATGATGGACAGACTGACAAGGGCACGAGTTCCAAGAGGATGCAGGGTGCTCTTGTGCTTAGAAAAGTGGGCTTCGTGTTCCCATCTCTAGCATCGTCTCGTTTGGTTACAGTAGCTGTAGTGCATAAGCAAGCAGCAGAGCTTGAGGTACTGCTTCTTTGTAGGGGTGTGTTTGGTCACATTCAGCTGCACATCTCAGTAATAGGTGTATCTGGCACGCAGAAAACATGCGCTTACTGAACCTTTCATCTTGCTCTACCGCGGTAGTTATGGTCTTGTGTCCTGTGGGTCACATTCTGGTGTGATGAGGTAAGTAGGATTTCATCTAAAATGCTGTGGGCTGCTGATGAATCTGGATCCCACAGTCCTGGTGATGAGTTGGTTTTATGTTCTCCTCCCACTTCATTTTCCTTTGGCCACTGACAACGTGATCTGGAAACTAAAGACTGAAAGGAGTCCGGGTGAATCACGAACACGGCACTTCTGGTAACAAGGACTCTGGTTGTCAGTAGGAAACCTGCAAGCTCTGGTTTGCTTCTGGAATTACCTACAGAGAACTCTAGGGCCTTGTGCTAATACAGCCTTAGCCTGAAATGTGAGCGGCTGTGGATACACCCACTGCTTTGCCCTCAGCAGCAGAGAAGTGGAGGTGGTAGAACAGCCTTAGCATTTCTGTAATCTCTGTGCTTTAGATCCTAGCTCCATAAAGGTTTCCAAACAGCTAAAGAATCAGAGCTCTTAGTTGGCTTAACGTCTGTGTTTGTTTGCCTTTCTAGACCAGTATTTTGGTGTCATTCTTTGGTTCCTTAAAAAGGTTAACTCTTTTCCACCAAGGACACTGTTACTATGGCACTTGAAACTCTCCTAACTCCATTTGCCTGAGGAGCTGTTGATTTACCCTGAGTGTCAGAACCTCACCGAAACCTCTCTCCAGTTGCAGGAGTTGCTGAACAGTGAGCCAACTGTGGCTCTGTTCAGACCCTTGTCGGACCCTTCTGTCGCGACAGCTCTGGATGCTTTTGTGTCGAAGCATAGGCAGCGTTGTGTGATAGCCCTGTGAGTGATTTAGACTCACCTGTTAATTCCGATGGTGCAGAGGTTGGGTTGAAGTTGGTCGGAGAGGTAAAAGAAGGCTGTGTACTCGTAGCTGGAGTTCTTTGAGATGAAATGTCCCCCAGTATGTTCCAATTCCAGGGATTCTTGGGGATGCTGCTGGGCAGGGAGCACGTTAAGCAGTGTGGGAACTGTTTATTATTGTGCCCTCTACACGAGGGCTAGCAAAACAAAATTGTGGGTCGGGTAATAGGAAATGCAGATCTTCAGCGTGGATGCAAACGTGGACGTGTTGCTTCAGAAAAAGATGCATGTGACATGCTCCAGAGAAGCACCAGTTAGCGCCTGAACTCAGATAATGTGGTGCTGCTCCCTTTCGGTGGTTTTAGGCAGTCCATTTATCTTGAGAATTATAACTTCCCCTCAGGCAGTGTCCTTTAATAGCGCTGGACTTGTGTAATCTGGGCAAGAACCTCATCTCTGGCCTTCGAAAGTGTGTGCTGGGGGGAGATTGAGTTTAAACCTTGGTTAAATCCATTTGTATCTACTGTGCCACAGGGACTTGCGGGAGAGGTCTCCATCAGCGGAGAGGTTCTCTAAATTGGATTACATTTGATAGCTAAAATAGTATTGTTCAGAGAGATTGGAAACTCTCAGACAATGATTTATTGAGTCACTTCTTAAATCTAACACATTTTTTTCTCTCTCATTCCCTGAAACATCTAGATACTGGCTGCTCTGCAGAAAGATAACCGGGAAATGGAAAAAGGAAGTCCTTCACTCAAACGTTAAAATCATGGCTGCCTCCGGTGACTCACGGCAAGAGAGCTGAAGTGGCAGAAGTGTTGCATACTGTCGGACATGTATGAGCCTGCAAATCCAAGTGTTATTTCCGAGTTTTGTTTAGTAGTAGCATAGCCTTAAAGGGGGAGGGGGTGGGGAGAAGGAGGAAGAAGGAAATTGGGGAATAAAACCCCTTATAAGTGAAACCTAGGCTTAGCCTTAAACTTCAGTGGAATGAGCATTTGCTGTGGACAGCGTTACACATTCTGTCCTTCTGATGAGGGCAGTGAACACAGGGTTTATGTGGTTTTTTTTCTTTTCCTTCATGTTTTCAAATACTGGGCATTCAGCAATGTCCGTTGCTTTGAAAACTGTTCCCCAGTTTCATTCTTAGGCAGGATATATTTCCCATACCCATGACAGTAGCTGGATCTGGATTTGTAATAACTGGTGCTGGAATTTATAGTTAAATTATGTAAGGACCATTTCTTTAGAAATGCTTCTTGTCTTATAGGCTGTGGGTCCCGTTTACCAAAGAAATTGTGTAGTGCTACATTCCATTCTTTAAGAAAAAGTTAACTAGAAAGTAAACTTGGAAGAGAAGTCACACTAGCAGTGCAGAACCAATTACTCTTCAGGATGCCTTGGAAATCTGTTTCCAGTGTGGATGCACATGGAAGAAGTTCCATTAATCAGACTAGATTCCAAACTCACCGTGGGGTTTCTGGAATTAAGCTGGTATCATTTCCCGGTGGTACTCTTTACGCTGTTGGAACACAGGGTCACATACATGTACGTTTCCATGTCTCCCTCCTCTGGGGCAGTGCCGTTTCGAGGTGTTCTTGCCTACCAGCTGCTTAGTCCTGTGCCGCCTCTCCCGTTGTGCTGAGCAGGTAGTTGAGAAATGGTTAAAAGCAACTTCATATTTGTTTTAAACCCAGCTCTGCTCACTGGCAAAACTTGCGGAGGAAGGGTGTAGGGGAGAAGTTAGGGAAGCCAACGGTCCTGCTGGGAAGAAATGGTTCTGTGGGATCTCCTGAAGCTGCTGCTGCCACAGTGGGAAGGCATTACGTGGAGCTGGTTTGCACGTAGTGACAAGCGAAAGAAGTTAGGGAATGTGCCAGACAAATCCTGTTGGGGAGAAGTACAAGGTGTCGTTTCCTAGGGTTTTATCCAGCCTCTAATAGATGGGAGCAAGTTGCAGAGACTGCAGACTGGGGTTGCATAATTGTGTTACATAGCTTAGGTTCCCTCTGCATTCAGTTGAATGTTGAACTGTAAATCACGAGTGCCTCTGATTTACAAGAATGTTTATTGCCTAGTGTGTAGTGTGAAATCTATTTTGTAACTAACGATGATCACTGTAAAGGGAAACTAGCCAAAGCAATATTTGTGTTAACTCTAAACAGGCGTTACCAAATTCTCTAGATACATGGTTTCCCACTGCTCTTCAGTCTGTTTCATGCTGATTATTTTGGCATTGTCTGAATTTAAAAAAATGAGAATGACAGTTGCACACTGCTCAACTCAACATAGAATGTAAAGGACTGTGGGAGGTAATCAAAATGCCGCCCTTGGTACAAATGTCCTTTCTGTGAGGGACAGTTTGATTGCAGTGCTGAAGAGAGAGCAAGGTTCCCTGGTAGGTGAGGACTCCAATCGCTTTGGAAGATGTGTCAGGCAAATGAGCTGGCAAGTCTGAAACCTCACTGACCTCTCTTTCCTGTCCATCGGCACAGGGATGTGTGGTTTTGGTTGGCCATCTTAATTCCTCCATAAGACTTCTTTTAGGTCATCACTTACTGAAAATAGACATCAAGACGTTGGTATGAAACAGGTTAGTTCTCCCAGGATTAGCGTAGCTTTGGGCCTTCAGTGGCCGGTGCTTGTATGCTACGTTGCTTTGAAGTGCAGTAGAACGCTGGGAGGTCAGTAAGTGTTTTGTAATACTACTTTTTCTGTTTCTACAACAAATACGCCTTTCCATGAAGGACATGAGGGGCCTACCGTCTGAAACATTTGCACTATGCTTTTGAACAGTTTGTTAAACGCAGAACTTTTTCCTCAGTGTACATTTTCAGGTGGTACCATAACTGGCTTTGGGATTTAAGTCTTCACTGCGACTAGATTTGTATTTCCTTTTAAACCAAGTCTACAAGCGTGGCTCATCTGCCTGGTTAAAATGCATTCTTCAGCCACTAGGTATCTTTGCAGCCATCAACAGCCTCTTCCCCTTTTTCCTCTTCCTAAGATGCTGAATGTAAGAGTGAACATGGGCATAGTTGTGGGGGGAAGAAGGTCTGCTGCAACAGGTGCACTGTTTGTTACTTGCAGATGTAATTACTTTGTTCTGTGATCTGATCTTTCTGTTCTTAGAAGATGTATATATTTTCTAAATGATTTCTTTGTGTATATAAGGTATGTTCTTTAATGAAGAAAAGCAATGCAATAAGGAGCTTTGCACAGTTTGTTTTCAAACAAAATACATTTTCAAAAAGAACCCCCCTGCCTAAAGATGCGATCGTTTCACCTTCTCGGCAGCCTGACGTGAAGGGAACGCTTGAGTTTTGATAAAAGCAGAGGTGAGTAGTGAGGGCAAAGAATTACACACCACTGAGCTTTTTAAGTGTCTTGCAGCATACCAAATCTTTTAAAGTAGCTATTAAGGAAGATTTCTGTAATAAATTCAGGGATTGCATAAAAGATTTTGACGATTTTATTGTTCAGGTGCTTGAGAGTATCTGTAACATGATGCCTGAGATCTTCTGTCATTTCTGTCTGAGCAAGTGTCCCAATCGAGCAAACTTGTTTTTCTTCATGGGTTTAAAGAAAAACAAAAACGCTGCAATGCATCACGAGTCTGTAACTGCCACTGTACATGCAGCAGGTTAGAGAAACCAGAAAACTTCAACCAGGTTTGGAATTCCGTACAACCTGCACTTTACGATGAGGCCGTTTTTCAACTTCAGTCAGCAATCAATGAATAACGATACTTCGTTTAGTAAAGAATTTAATGTGGAAAAAAGGTACCTTGTAACAGCTTATTTTTGAATGTTCTAGAAACTAGGATGACCTATAGAGAACTGTTGATACATCCCCTGTACATCATGTTTAAATGGGTTTTATGAAGTTACCAAGTTTGTTTTGTTTAGATATGTGTATCAAACTGGAACTTTTTTCAACTGTAAATATATGGTTTTGTTAAATAAAGTCATGTAAAGCTACTTTAATCACCTATTGTCACTGTTATTCAGAAATTAAAAGTTCAAGTACCTATCTTTTTCTTCACAGGCTTTTTCAGCAGCTTTTGTCTGTCCAAAAGCAGGACTTGGGGACATTTAGGTACTGCAGGCAGAGGATTTTCTGGTGCTGCTTTCCAAGTTCTTACGTTAAAATATGTTTTATATTACATGTGACATCTAGAAGATTTGATACTTACGGTGCCCATGGTTTAATCCATTTCATATGCCTTTCTCTGGATTAGGTCTGAGACCTGATAAATTTATTATGAAAAATAGCTGTAAATACATCTTTGTGAGATGTGCAGAACTCAGAAATGCTTGAATACCTTACCTGGTCTTTGTTTTTGAAGAAGAAATCTTGGTTTATGGCAAGTTGCATAATTTCCAGGCATTTTCGTGCTCAATTTAAGGCAGTATTCTTTTAATTCTTATATAGGCATAACTTCAGAGATTAAAGGGGAGAAAGTTCCTGTTGCTGACTTCACTGCAGAGAGGTTAAAGCACTAGGTAAAAGCTAGACAAAAGCAAGGGAGAGAAGAGAGTACCTGTGCAGCAAGAGCATGTGAGGAATGCAGAGACTTAGCTGCCACCGTTCTGGCTTCTCCAGTAAACACACCTCTCACTTCCGTGTACTTAACTAACTTCCTGTTGGATTGCTGGATTGGAACTTAAAGCCAGAACTGCTTTATGTAAGCCCATCCCAATGTGATACTGATAGCGGTTGACATCGTATGTGTCGCAGCACACAGATGTTCAAAGCTAGCTCATCTGCGCCCTAGGTGTTCGCCTTCTCCAGATGTCAGACGTGCAGCAATGAAAAGCATCTAACGTTTGCTTTCCCTGCTTCTCCTCCCTCCGTCTGTCTACGTTTGTTGCTCAGTAGTGATTAAGAAGTTCAAAGAAGGCTTGTATGTCTTAAGCCAAAAGTAGCAAGAAGACGAAGAATGTTCCTGGTAGGAATTTGGAAGAAGTCAAAACTTCTCTTTTGGAGTTGACTGCTAATCATCCTTACTTATGAAAACAGTGTCGTGGAACACCGGGAGGCTGCTCGACATGTGTGACAGCTGCTCTTCAGTAGGAGAGAAGCTGGCTTTTGGTAACACAGTGTGAGATGAAAGGTAATGATTTTGGTATCTCTTATCTTGAAGACAAGTGGTTGGCACTCCTCTCCATTTACTGTCCAGCAGCAACAGGCAGAGGCAGATGTACTGGTATTTTGTGAAAGTTCTTGAATCTTAGTGGTGTAATGTCTCTTGGTGAATAGTGTGTTTGAGCTGCTGGGGACAGAGCGCACTTCAGCTGTTGGCAGACCGAGAGCCTGCGCCGCTGCACTGTCCTTACGCAATGGCTCTGCAGAACGCTAAGGACCGTAGAAGAACATAACCGAATTGCTACTGCATGACTGCACTAAGGGTAAGAAATTACTGAGCTCTCACTTCACTTTGCCAGAAGAACAAGATTTAAACCTTCAGCAGTGTAATAAGCTCCTTCATCATTTTTGTCTTTTAAATCTCCGGGCAATTCAGAAAGCCTACTTCAGAGATGATTTCAAAGACAAAGTTGTGACCTATTCCAGGAATGTCTATGTCAGTTTACCTTTTATCCCCAGTTAAGTGCCTTCCGTGGCTTGAGTACTTTGTTTAAATGCATATATGCAGCTTATGTCGGAACTAGAGCCAGCAGCTCAACTACGGCTCGGCAGTACTGGTCCCACAGCATGTAATTCCAGTCTGTGGCAGAAAACCAAAAGTCTCCACCACTGGGCTGTGGCTTTTTACCTGCAAAATTCACAGCTGGTGAACACTAAAATCTGTGCCTAAAAATGGGACTAAAGATTGCTGGTCGAGCTAAGCACAGTAGTGGTATCACACATCGAAATCGCCAATTACCTAGGTAGGACGGGTGTGGTAACTGG